AATAGATCGACACAAAATTATGCAATCGACTTGTCGATCACGATTGGCTTGTTGCCCTGGTCTTCCAGGCATGTGAATGAGTAGTGTTGGTCTGTGATGATTCCATTGAAGTTGAACTTTTGTCTTCTTGCTCAAAATTCCAATTAGAAAATGAGAATGGAATAAGATGTGCATTTATTAATTAATAAGAAGGAAATGATAATAGTATGAACTAATATTCTTACCAAAAATAACTGGAGAAACTTTAATTAAACATGTCTGTAACCAAAAAGCTATATTAATAATTTAATCAGATTCTAATGTTTTTGGGTGTGCTTAAGTTAAAAATCACCACTATTTCTTCCTGGCATGCCATTTTTTTCACAATTGAAATGTAATTTGGTCTAACAGGTAGCTGGATATCGCTAAATTTCATATTCATCACACTTGGAAAAAAGAATGAGCATGGAAAAACAAATTTATATTCACTAGCAATGCCCCCCAAGACATGAAACTACACATATGTATTGGTCCTGATGGGAATCACTGCATTGTTGAGTGTGCTTGCTAGGTCCTAGACATGTCATGCATGCATGAACTTTTGCTCTGATTGTTCCAATATTTTATTTCGTTTCAGTCTTCATCCAGCTATTGTTTGTGTGGTTCAAAATTAGAACAATAACTCTATAAATGTGTATAAATTTATGATTATTTGACAGTTTCTGTTCCGTATGTGGAGAATTCATGGGGAAAAGCAGCAGTTGAATATTATGGATTTTGTTCAAAAAATGTATTTCATTTATTTTAAATTAGAACCACTTTGTGACCAAGATAAAGTCTGGGCTCCTCAAAGTATGTAAGTATTAGACCAAATACCCTTGTTTTCTATGTTTATGGGAAGGTATTTCAGTTACAATTTGTGCTTGCCCATGCACCATGTCATTGCCCATTCATAGTGATGCTATGCATTGATACAGACTTCCTTGTACAAGTTACTTTTCTAATTTCTTTAGTATGGCCTAGATTTTCTGTCTTGCCACGTAATATTGCCAGCTGGCATCTATCACATCCAAAACTACATTTTTTTTTACATTTTCTCAATTTTTCGGTATCCTAAAGGTAGAACTGATATATTATTTTCAGAACTTTAAAAAAAGAGTAAAACTTCGTCCCGTATGGCAATTTTCATTGAAAAAATTGGAGCCGTTTCTAAGCAAATGGCGTTTAAGCGTTTCTACTGTAATTGCGCAATTTGAAGATGTTTTTCACAGATAATTACATTCGTCTATTTTTTGAAGAAAGAAAATAAAAATAATATCTCAAAATAAACTTTATGTTTTAATGATCACTGCCATTATCACTATCCATTGGTAAAGTTTGGAGAAAGAATTTGGAGCCATTTTTGAGAAAATGGCCTTTGAGCCTGAAAATGTGTAATTTTGAGTTTTTTCTCTCATACTACTGTTCAGTTTTCGAGAAACTTTATATGACATTTTGTAAAGCACATGATCTTATAAATGCATTAATGTAAACTACTCGCCGCTACTATAAATATTACCGACGTGAGAGACAAGTCAAAAAATTTTTGTATTTTTTGAAAAAACAAAAGAGAGTAATATGGCTTATATGTTATCTCATGCAGTACATTTAGCACTATCACTACCAGAAGTGTAAAGAAAAAGTTGGAACCGTTTTCAGAAAATTTTGGTTTTGTTATTTTTTTAAATTGCACATTTTGCTCACATTATTGCGTTAAAACGACTAAAAGTTACAAAAACTGTACAAGATCTTAATGCAAGTACTAATTATGGACAACAAATTTAATTTGAAGGGAAAATCTCTAGCTTCAATTTTGTAGTTGTAGGAAATCCCCGAAAAACATTCAAACTTTTTCAATTTTCGAAAATTCAGAGTAAGCCGTGAAAATCGGATTTATAAAATCTTTATAAGTGTATTTTACTATATTTTTTCAAAAACTTTAAAGAAAAAAATATGAGCCATTTTTGAGAAAATTATGGAAATGTCCGGGGGCTTCATGTAAAGTACCACCAAATTTTAAAGAAAGTTTTTTAAAATCGCAACGCCTCGAGTCGAGCCAGATTGACCGGGAAACATCCATTTTGGAAAAAATCCTACATATGGTTTAGGCGCTAGTGGTGTTAACAGAGAGGAGATACGGAGATACTGACGGACAGACAGACAGAAGGATGGACATATTGAAAAAAACAACAGTTTCGGTATTAGGGGACCCTAAAACGGAGGGGAAAATAGACTGATGCACAGGAAAAAAGAGAGAGGTGCATAAGTCCACGAGAGGAGTTGGTGACCGGAGACTTCAATGGGTAATCCCCCGTGTGGGGCGAAGAAAAGATGGACAAAAGAGGGATCATAATAAGCGAAATGATAACGCGAAACGACATGGTGGTAATAAATAGAGGAGTTCAACATAGGGGACACGCCAAGTCAATAATCGACCTGTCTATCGCTAACCAGCGATGAGCAGGTCACACTGAAGAATGGTAAGTCCTAGAGTCCCTAAGTGACCATAAATGTATACCCTTTAGGATTGTAGGAAGTCAGTACTCCAAACAATTGTCTTATAAAAGGCGAGAAAACTGTCCTAAGCGGACATAGAATGCTCGGAAACTTAACGAAGAGAATGAAAAAGATACTTGACAGAATCTAGGTACGTTCAAGAGCTACGATGGGGGTTGGACCCCAAACAATAGACAGTGTGGCAGAATGGGATCGAAAGGTTTCCAGAGGGCCGGAATCTATTCATGCCCCTAAAGACAGTCAGCAATTATCGTAGAGGACCAAAATATTGGTGGACACAGGAAATAGCCCTCCTAAGGAGTGATTGTAGCAGCCAGAAGAAGATGTAAGAGGAAGAAGAGGGTGAACATCTGAAAGGGGAAGCAGAAGAGGAAGGTACTCAACCGCGCAATGAGAAGCAAGGGGATGTGCTGGAGAAAGCTGATATTAGAAGTTGAAACGTTCCATGGGGCATGCCTTACAATATTGTTATGAGTAAGTTGAATGGAAGGCGGAATATCTCTGCTCTAAATGATAAAACGAGGGTCGAAGAAATAATTTGACATCCATTTCCCAAACGCCCAAAAAGGAAAAGGAACAGTTATGACAAAGCGGTTGGGGCAGACATGTTCACGATCAGCGAACTGCAAGAAGTCGGTAAACGCCTGAAAGCAGGCAAGGCACTTGAGTTGGATGGGATACTGACCGAGGTACTGAAAGTTGTCATCAGAGAGTATTCGGACATTCTATTGGAACTCTTCAATGAGTGTATGTTCAGTCTTCGTCAAAGATTGGAAACGACAGAAGCTTTAAGGAAGAGACATAAGGCGGTGGATAGTGCACCAAGGTGGAGACCCATCTGCCTTCTGGATACCATGGGCACAATGCTAGAAGCTTGATTCTTCAGGCCATGGAGAATCACATGATAGGGCAGAGCAGCTTGGCTCATAACCAGTACGGGTGCCGTAAAGACAGATCGACGATCGATGCTATCAGAGAAGCAGTCGAACTGGAAAAACGGCAAGAGAAGGTAGCGACAGGAAGAAAGGCTTTTGTGCCCTTATAGCAATAGACATTCGGAACGCATTCAACTCCTTGCGCTGGGAAGATGTAAAAGATGTATTAGAAAGTCGGAATATCCCAGTCTGCCTGACGAATCTTATAGGCGACTGCCTAAGCGAGAGAAGCATTATAAATGAAGGAGATAATTGGAGAATTAAAGAAGAATAACGTGTGGCACCCCCCCCCAAGGATCTCGGCTAGGCCCAATGGAACGATGACTTTTTAAAGATGTCGCTCCCAAGGGAAGTAAATATTATTGGATTTGCGGGTGACGCCTTGATTGTAGTCGCAGCAGGAAGTGAAGATATCCTTGAGGTGCTAGCGAATGAAAGCCTTCATAGAACAAAAACGGGGTTGGATAAACGGTAATTAGACACGGCGCCAAAGAAAACAGACAGTTCTGGTAACCAAGAGAAGGGGCTTTAGGAATAGCGTGGGAGAATAGAAGTGGGAGGCAATGGAATACAATGGAAGAAACACTGTACTTCTTTCGGGGTAGACATCGTCAATTGCTTGAGTTTTGGACTGCAAGTGGAGAAGGTAGCGATGAAGGCAATGGAAGCGGGAGGAAATCTAACACGATTGACGCCGAATGCTGAGGGCCCGAGAGAAAAGAAAAGACGACTGGTAGCAGGGTCAGTTCTGTCAAAGTGCTATATGCAGCTCCGGCATGGGCGGGTGCTATGAAAGGAGAAAAGTTTAGGAGAAGGCTGTTGTCGGAACAAAGAGGAGTAGCACTGAGGATCATCTCTGCCTACCGAACTGTCTCTGACAGTGCCGCCCTTGTACTAGCAAGCGTACCCCTATCGACCTTTTGATAAAGGAAAGATCGTCCGTCTACGAAAATCTGAAAGAAATGTAAGACACCAGAAAGAGAGAAACAGAAAGAAATGGTGGAGAAGGAAGCAAGAGAGGAGCTCTTTTAGATGTGGCAAGACTGCCGGAGAAAAGAAACGACAGGAAGGTGGACTCGTAGTCTAATACACGATATTAAGAAATGAGTAAAACAAAAGCACAGTGAGACCGATTACTACCTGACACAAGCATTCACAATCCATGGAAGCTTCAGGAGCTACTTCTACCGTTTCAAAAAGAAAGCGGACAGCATGTGTACCGCCTATGGAACAGAAGATGACACAGAAAATGTTATTTTACTGCCGAGATTTTGAAGTAGACAAAGAAATCACCATCTCCAGTATTGAAAAGATCTCACCAAACAATATAGTAGAAGAAATGCTAGTAGTAGAAGAAAACTGGGTAAAAATTCATAATTTTCTGAAAAGCTATGAAGAAGAATAAAGAACTCTGTCTGGCAAGATGAAATTTCATAACTGCGATTCCTTGCTAAGACATTCTGTTTGGAAGGGGGTTTTAGTGGGTAGACCAACTCAGGGAGTCCCACACATGGGGTTTCAAAACCTTACGGTGCATAAAGTAAATCTCCCGCCTAAAAAATAATAATAGTAATAATAATAATAATAATAATAATAATAATAATAATAATAATAATAATAATTATTATTATTATAATGGGATGAACGCGCCAAATGTGTGTCCGTGATTATTCGAAAACAATTACGGTTTGACCAGATACAAAAATAGATGTACAAGCGTTGAAGCGCGTATTCATTATTTACTGCACGCCGCCGAAGGAATCTATGTTCTGGTTATTTTATGCAAAAATTGCTTTCACCACACATTGACATTGTTTCAGGACACAGCAGATGAAACTGATGGCGGAGGGAGGGTCGACGCTGCGTTTTGATAAAATTTGTACACGATTTCTTGGAGATAGGAAACAGAATGTTCGAATTGTTCAACAGTTTTCATCGTTAGCAAACATTACGTGAGGGCTTTCTCAAGGAAGTGCCCTTCCCTGTCCCACGCCTTGGTTAATGACACACAGAAAATTTAATTTGGAAATGCTATTATTTGTAGATGATTGCATAATATATCGAGTTATTGAAATTTAGAAGAAGACGTTGAGTAGGATGGTCTAGTTAGACTAACCTTTTGTACGGAAACAATTAGTGTGGGAATAAATTCTATGAAGAGCAAACCCATCGTGAATGGAAAATGTCGAAATTACGCCGATAACCATTAACGTTTAACCAACGAAAGTATTCCGCAAGTCTTTTCTTGTAAATATCTAGGAATCTTTTTTGTCAACACATTGGGTATAGAAGATCATCTAAATTTGATTACACAAGGCAACAAAAAACACTTTTTTTGGTGCCTGCAATTTTAGAACTGATTTATGTTGTATTATATATTATATTGAATTTCAGGGTTGCTGATTTCAAAAATGCTAACTGCTTGGCGGCATCACCTCTTGTTTTGAAAACACAGTGAAATGAACGATTTTCGTCACTTTCAGATTCACAGTTCATTTTGAATATATATATATATATATATATA